TCTATCTATCTATCTATCTATCTATCTATCTATCTATCTATCTATCTATCTATCTATCTATCTATCTATCTATCTATCTATCTACACACACACACCACATGTGCAGTGTTTTGTGCAGCCTCCTTTCTAACAGCCATTTTATTTCCCAGAGGCACACTACATGGCAAAATTCAAAGTGTGATTTTTTCAAAGAACATCTTCATTTTGATTGGTTCAAAAATACTCAGATGAGAACTCAGTACATCCCCCACCGCTCTCCCAGCGCACCTAAACTATGTCTGCCCTGCTTTCATCAGTCATAGAGGAGGGTGGGTTTGGGGGCAATCCTCCATTGCCAAGAACCCCTGAAAGGGGGACAGCTGCCTGCCTCCCCTTGGTGGGCGACTTCTCCAGAAACTCCTCCTTTCTGCCTGCAGCCGCTGGGAAGGTCAGGAACATTTATAATTTTTAATGATGCTCAGTCGTGGCGAAGGAGGATGAGGACAGCTTCCTGCAGCACTCTGCCACCTGCCTCCTCCCACCACAACAGCCCCAGTAATGGGAAGGGGGGGCATGCTCACTGGAAGATGAGGTTTGAAGGAGGGAGCCGAACGCACAAGGGCTGCAGCATGGCATTGACCGGCAGGGCTGGTTCACCGCAACCCCACAGTCTGTCTTTGCCCACAGCCACCATGGATGGGACAGAGCAGGTAGCTGCGCATCTGGCAGGCTGCGTAGCTACCCAAGCAGGTCTAATCGTGTGCCTCCACATGCTTGGAGCATCAGCCCAGCGGTCATGGGGTTTGGACTTACCTGCGCTGCGTGGACTGTGGATTCCCAGCTGCCTCTTGGGCATGGGAGCTCCCTACTTTTCCCATTTGCCGAGGCCTTCGTGAGTGGGGCAGTGGGCATAAGACTCATCCCGCATGTACAGTTCAGTTAGAAGATGAAGTTGGATGACTCCACCCCCACCCCATCACCTGCCCTCACCTTGTGGTAGCAGCAATGGCAGTAAGCTAAGGTAGAGGCATGGGGGGAGGCACGCAATCCAGCCCGCCAGATGCGCTGGGTGGCTGCCCAGCTGCCTGCCCCATCCCAGCCACAGTGACCATGGGCAAGCAAAGACATACTGTGGGACAGAGCATGAGGGTGGGAGACCGCCCAGCAGTTCCAACAGGCCAGATAATGTGCATCATCCCCTATGCCTCTGCCTGTTGCTTAGGGCCAGCTTGGCAGTCACAGCACCCTAGACCCACCTGCGCTGCGCATGTTGCAGAGCCCCTCAACTGGCGTACCAGTTGCAATGGGATCCGGAACCTACCACTGACACCGATGGTGTTGTTTCCTGCCCCCGCCTTAGATCCGACCCATGTGGTTGCCCTGCCACTTCAGCCCTGCCCCCTGGCCTCCAGGTGGATCTAAGGCTGGCCATGTTCCAGCCGGGATGGCTGCCAGCAGGTTGTAAATCAGCACCCAGTCCGGCCTGGGCTGGGCCGAGACACCAAGGACTGATACTTCCCTGCTAACAGAGTAGCTCCACGGGTGAGATCTAACCACCTTGTGGGCCACGGACCTTGAGTTTGACACCCCTGTCAATAATAATTAATAATAATAATAATAGGATGATGACTCATCATCTGAAATATTTTTCATCACTATATGTCCTGCACTTTAGATACACTGAACTAAGTTCCAAAATCCAAGGTCAAGAAGGTTATTGACAATTAATTTATAGAAGAGAGATCCAACATATACATTATGAAACCAGTTGGGAAAGCTGGTATATTCAAAATCAAAGGACTTAAAATCTGCAAGAAAGAACATTCATGTATGTTGAATGCTACGACCTGATTCTCATGCAGCTTCAGATAGTGCTGAGTGATGCTCTCATGCTAAATATCCTCATTATCATTTGTGACTCATTTGACAGTATCCTTAAATTTTGGCTGCCACTGATTGTCACAGATAGACCTAAGCATTCTTCTTTCTCTAAGATGAATAATATTCAGTGTACATATCATCACTCTAGCTAATGTTCATCCATATGGAAAAGAATCAAACCACAAATGATTTGAGAAGAGCAGAACTGGTAGTTTATTGGAAATTAAGTCAGTACTGCTCTAAAGAACCAGCATTTTTATGAAATGGCCAAATCTTGGAGTTATAATTATATGAGAGTTCCTATTACTGTTGCAACCACTTGCCTTCCTTTTAAAGTTAATTGGCTCAATTCTCAAACACCAGTAAGCATAATCTCCTATATCAGTGTATAATATTTCTGTTGTTCATTTGTGCAATTCAACACTAACACTTTGTCTGAATTTGTACAAAAGATGTTTAACTTTTGGTGTAATCTGATCAGTTACGGTAAATAAAAAGGACATTAAAACGGATGGATCGAGCCCATACTTTGTAAAGTAAGGCTTCATGTTGCAAAGCAAGACTATATCAATAATAATATAGAAATTAAGTCAATGATGTTGCTACATGTTGCTATGTTAATTTACATGCAAAATGATAGAACATTTGATGTTTCTCTGAAAAATGTCACTGTTAACAATTTCATGACATTTAACAGCTATTAAAAGATCACCATGAAACTAAATCAAACTTGGAAATGTAGCCAGAACCAAAAGAAATTAGAACTTTTAAAAATAAATAAACTCTGATTTGATAGACCCTTTAATTCATTTATAACAAAAGAAAAAGATCAAATACTAGAAAAGAGCTATCGAGGCATCTTTGTTATCAGAGCAATTGTGTCCAGGTTTGTGTATTCTTATTTTGGCAGTAAGTCTCAAAAAAGCAAAAATGAGATCATCTTTAAGAATCCATCTTTTTGGAAACAGTGGCTGGTAGAAAGAAACTGACAAATCCATGTATCTGCCATGCTTCGGTGGACGAAGGGGGGGGGATTTGATGCATTTTGTTCTTTCTCCTTTCTACGTATCCTACTATCCTATGTCTTGCCTTGCCTGTCTGTATAACCTTTTGCCTGATTTATAACCATTGCCTGGGGCCTCAGAGGTCTGGAAAATCCTCAACTCTTGGGCGATGCAAGTGGGGGGGAACCATGTGAGTTGCAACTTCGGAAGATGATCCTGAGAATCCCTGCTTATCTTTTTCTCAGAGAGGCCGGTACAAAAACATTTTCACACCTGCAGATTGGTGGGAATCCACATTGGATGGTTGGGAGTGGTTCTTAAATTCCTTTATCATGGATTGTATAGCCTGAGGGTTTCAGAGCCTGCTTTGAATGTTGACTTGCTTTCACCCCTTTTCAATAAAAAGATACCTTTTGAAATACCCGGTTTTCAAGACTCTACGCTTTCTTGAGGGGGGTGGGCGAGGCAGTCCTTACCAAAACTGATTATAAGTGGAGGAGTTCTTGGTGTAAAGAAAATAAAACTGCCTACCAATTCAAGTTGTTGATTTTTTTTGTGATAATGTGAAACAACCTTACTTTGCTAAAATATTCATTTCAACTTCAGAAGGGAGGTTTTTCAAGGAAAACCTCATGTTTATCCTATTTCTATTTTTCTCCATGCCATTTTGAGTAGAAGAACACCTTATTTGTAAAATCCACAAGAGCTTATATGAAATAATACATCAGAATAGGAAGATTTCTAGCTACTTAAGCACTCTGTGGAAGGAATACTGGAATAACACACCTGCATGACAATAAGAAGGTCAAAAACTAAGGTGAAGGAAGCCAGGAAAGCTCTCGAAACTTCATCACTTGGCAGAAATCCACGATTCAACTTGTCCCAGTTTATCCAGTCTGTTGTGATGATCAGCACAATCACTGAGGTCAAAGTAAATAAAACTGTCCTAAAAAGAAAAATTCAAAATTCAACTAATTACTTTATAGCTACCTCCAAAACAATCTGAAAATAACATTTTCTTTGTTATACTTAAAATACCATTGCATGGATATTCTTGTAAATCAATCTTCTACAACTAGATTTGTTCTATATATGCTGGGCTACAACTCTATCATTCCTAGGCAGGTCCCCAAACTAGCATTGATGAAATTTGCTGCTGCTACAAATAAACTCCAACGAGCCTGTCAAAAAACTGAGCATTACTGTGGAAGTGAGCAATAGTGACTAAAAGAATACTGTAGGGGTGACCTGTCCCATCCCTTTCTCTCCCACCCCAGACCCAACCAATACCGCTGGGAGCATGTGGGAAACACAATAGTTTTTTTTAAAATTAAGATTTTTTTTTTATTAAACATACGGTAAAATAAAACGTTGGGCACAGTGTAAACCGTCCTGGCAGAATCTATGCCATACATGCTAAGGTTTTTAGTCATACATTGTAGCCACCCTATTTTTTTAACCTTTGATCCATACCGTACTTACAAAAAGAGAAAAGTAACCTATTTTGAGCCATGTTGGTTTGTGTTTATCTTGTACATTCTCCCACTTATCATTTTATGCATAATTCTAGTCTCCACTCTATGAATCTTGGCTCATGCCTATTTTGGGTTTTTCCTTTTATATTCCAACCATTGATAAAATTTATCCCAGATCTTATAATATTCTGATTCATCTTTATTCTTCAATTCCCACGTCAATTTATCCATTTCAGTGCAGATCAAAAATTTTCCTAATTATTTCCCCTTCATGTAGAGTTTCCCTGTTTTTCCAATTTTGGGCAAATACCATTCTTGCTGCCGTGATAATATGTATAGTTAAAAAGATAACCACCTTGTTGTATTTCTTGTTTATAATTCCCAAGAGAAATAGTTCCGGTGTAAATTCTATTT